AGCAAATATATTTGGCAACGTTTTACTTGGCCATGATTTTTCTCAATGCTGAACTGTTGAATATGCATATAAGTATGGTATAATATTGATAAAAATCTTGACACATATGTACATACCTCAATTTTAATTTAATCACGTCTATTAGTGTTTATCCCCGAGATATATTCTGTACAAGATCGGAATCGATCGATACTAGTATCGATATTACATTGACTTGATATATTATTAATTTATGGCTGGAAATGGTATGTGTAATAGTCGCATGGATTGTTGAATCTTTATATATAATTATAAATTTAAAAGATACTAAAATGTATGTACTTTTTAACAATTTATTGAATACATCTTTCACATTTTTTATATCAACGATTGTATTTACGGTTATACTTTCAGTGTCACTGTCACTTTCAAGGAATAAATCGACAGTACTACAATGTAGATTAACCCTTATTTTATGAACAATCGAATAGATGGGAGTCCTTAAAATAAATTGAATTGTAAAAAATTGATTTATCCGTCTGATCAAATGCTTTGTTCAGTGGTGAGAGTGCTACCTAGCTTGTAATATTAAACGGAATATCAAAATCGAGGAATATCAATGTTGAATGTTTTGAAAAAACAATCGATACTATCGTGATAGTATCGGGCTCAAATATTTATTAAAAAACCATTGAAACCTTTTAGGAACTTGTCCATTGTAAAAATTAGATGCCATCTGTCGATTTGTTTATAAATGTGTCTTCGTATTTTATAGCAGCCAATCCAAACATATCAAAAGCGCAACGACTGTAGCTCGATACTATCATGATAGTCGCAAAACCGTCGATAGTAGAGGCTAGAAGTAAAATATCGATACTATCGATAGTGCCCTCGATGGTTTGACACCTCTAATCCCAACCTAACTTTTTGTTACTTAGTTTGGGGATTTGTGATAAAAAGCATCAGCAGCGAAGCTAGTGCAGGTGAGAATTACGACAAATGCACTTTGTTGATTGGATTGCATTGCGGTGGGAGTGAAACAAATATTCCAGGTGCAACAGATAACTGTTGGCCTTGCCGGCGGACAGGCAATGCCAAGAACAATAATTGCAACAAGCGGCAAATGTGCAAAAAAAAGGAACTGAGGCAGTTGAGTAGTTGCCAATGCACACACCACACTCGTTCGTACTCAGACGACAGGGTTTGCCGTTTTTTCTTTTTTGCTGCATATATATGCATGTATCTGCATGTGTTTACTTGTCTGTGTGTGCGTGTGAGTGTAGCAGCATAACTTGTTTGTATCCGAAGAATCCTCCACCAAGAATCTGCCGCTCTCAATGCTGCCGAATGAGATGCAGATGCTCTCAGTCGGGTCTCTTCTGTCACCGGTCGAGCTGGCTCTCTACTCTTCTTGTTGCCGTGCCACAACCGGCGCCGCCACTATTGTGGCAGCCGCTGATTCGGCGCATACCTACACACCAGCGTCCGATTCGCAAAAAAAAAAAACCCCCCGACTCCACTCGGCCCGACTCAACTCGACTCGACTCGACAGCGACTCCAGTCGACTCGGATTTTTGTGTGTCTACCTCAATGCGAGAAAAATTTTCCAGCCGGCCGGTTTTTCATCTGCAGCTTTGTCACATTCTCGAATTATTGCAGTTCCCCCTTCAATAATTTGATGGTTACTATGGAGAACAGCGAGGAGATTTTACAAATCCTGGAGCGTTTCACCCGCCTCAAGCAAAAGGAGATACCCAAGGAGCTGGAGGACTATCTGCAGTATGTGGCCAAGACTGGGGACACCGTCTTCAAGTGGTCCAGCCTCAAGTATCTGTTCCGCGAGAAGCTGCTCAGCGTGATCAAGCACTTCAATGAGGACTCACCCCGACTCGAAGGTAATCTATAATCCTATGGAGCCAGTGGCCAGTTTCCCTATAACCTATAGCCCATAACCCATGTCCCGTGTGTTGTTGTTGTTGTTCCCCCGGCGCCCCACACGCAGAGATACCAAACTATCCGAATGTGGATCCCTTCAATTACGAGACCATGAAATCGTCGCTGCTGGAGCGGCTCGATCTGTTCAATGCGGCTCCCTTCACCGTGCAGCGACTCTGCGAGCTGCTCATCGATCCTCGGAAGCAATACTCGCGCATCGACAAGTTCATGCGGGCCCTGGAGAAGAATATACTGGGTAAGTGTGTTGCCAGGACGCGACTGATGCTGATACTAAGATTCTCAATCCTACACCATCCTCCCGCTGTTCCTTCTCCCTTGCAGTGGTCAGCACCATTGATCCGGGCCGCAAGCGCACGGAGAGCGAGAACGGTGACTCCTTGGACTCTGTGGTGAATGGTGATCTCTCCCTGGAGGTCAACATCGACATTGAAATGGAGAACGAGGCGGCGGCGGCTCACTTTAACAACGGCAAGGCCGGTGGTGAGGGCCCCAGTGTTGGTGGTGGAGGGGGCGCCGCCAAGGCCAGTTGCCCGCGCTCGGACGGGGGTGCCGTCCAGCCCAAGGCGAAGAAGGCCAAGCTGGAGTACGAGGGAGATGAGGCCGATGCCGCCGCTGAAGATGATGATGAGGCCGGCGAGTCCGAGCAGGCCACCAAGTCCAAGTCCGAGGACGCTGAGGATGATGCTGACGAGGATGATGATAAGAACGACGAGGACGAGACTGACGCCGATGCCGATGCACCCCAGGAGGCAGCCGAGATCGAAGAGCCCGACGACGATGATGAGGATGATGTGAAGACTGCCAAGCAGGCTCTCAACGGCACCAAGCAAAAGCAAGAGCAGGAGCAGGACGACGATGAGGAAGCTTCTCCCGAGAGTGATCCCACTGGTGGTCCCGATGAAGACGACGAGGATGATGCCGGCCTATCTCCTGACGCAGCCGTCAAAGAAACCGCCGATGAGAAGGAGGAGGAGGATGCCGATGCCGATGATGCTGCCGATCCGCAGCCGGAGATCATTGAGAAGCAGGAGATCGAAAAGGCCGAGAAGAAGGGCAAGAAAGGCGAGCCGAAGACCAAGCCCACTGCCGATGAGAGGGATGGCCCCGATGAGGGGAAAAAGGGCGAAGCCAAGGACAAGGCCGAAAAGGAAAATGACAAAGTTGCCGATAAAGAGTCGACATCCGCATCTACTCCCGCTAAAAAGGACAAGAAAGAGGGACAGCCGAAAAAGGCCCTCACACCGGACCCCAAACCATCATCGGCAAAGAAGGCATCACCGGCCGGTAAGCCCGGCAAAGCCACTGATGCCGAAGCCACCGCTGACGCCAAGGAGCGGAATACCGAAAAGACTGAGACCGAACTGGCCGCTGGCAAGAAACAGCCACCGTCGCCGGCACCGACCACGGCCACTGCCGAACCATCATCGGAGGCCATCGATAGTAAGAAAAAGGCCGACAAGACTGCCGAGAAAGCTTCTGAAGCTGACAAAGAGCCCGTCGAGCCAACTGATCCAGCTGAGGGCGATGCCAATGGCGATGGCGATGCTGCCGCACCGAAATCTCTTTCGCCAGCCATAGCTGACGACGAGCCCGCACCAACACCGCCAGAAGTGACCAAGGAGGCAGCCACCGCTGCCACTCCACCGGCACTCGCGTTGAACGATCAACCGATGGAGGACACACCAGCCGATGAGGAGACAACAGCCTCTGGGGCCGACGGCGAGGAGGTGGTGATGTCCGAGGAGGCTACATCAGCTGGCGCCGAAATGGTAACCGAAGAGGCAGCCGCCAAGGATGATATGGCCGCCATGGAGGTGGACGACACCAGCCAGGAGGTGATGGACCAGTAAACCATGCCAATTCCAAGCGACTAATAACTACATACAAAACGTACTAATCCATATACATAACTAGCATTATAAGACAGCACCTAACCCACAAACCACAAGCCACATCTAGATTCCACATCTACCATCTACAAAAACACTCCGCCACTCCTTAGTCGCTCAAATAGAATGTCTCCTCTATCCCCCATATAGTTGTAAGTGCAAAAGTAAAGGGCCACAGTAGTTTGATCAGAAACAACACTAGACGTCGACGATCATTCCAACCCAAGCGTCGACTCATGATGTATCTCCTCAGCCACCTCCTTCTCCTTCTCATCAACCAATGTTGAACAGAACTCTTGACTCCCGGCTCACAGAATCTGTCGTTGTCGTATTTATATGTACTTTTAAATGTATTCTTCTCTCAGAGCAATACTCTGCGTTATGCATAGATATCCGATATCCCGAAGAATACCTACCACCATCCCCTTTCCACTATGGGTGTGGTGTTTCGGTGTCTTGCGGCCACTGTCCAGTGTCCAGTTTTCCCTGTGTCCTGTGTCCCAGCGCCGAAAGTCTTCCTTCGACTCTTAGACTCTGGTATTGCAGAGGTTTTAGGTTTTAGGCTTTTCATGGCACACGAGCCGTGGATGTTGTGAGCGGTTTGAACGCGAAATAAAACTATCTATACACAATATATATATATCGAAACTGATTTCTCTTTTTTTTTTTAAAGGCAGCCGAGCAGAGGGGCACTGCTGCATGACGCGCCACATTTACAGCAGGAAAGGGATAGGAGACTGAAAAAAAGTCTCTTATGGGTAGTATCTGTTATTCTGCAGTTAGGGGTTTAGTGTCAGTTCCAGCTCCACTGTCTGATCTGCACGGAAATGAAAGCCATTCCAGGGAATATTTTAGCTTATGAAAAACTCATTTGGATTTTGCTTTATATTAGTTTCTTCCGTGGCATAAAAACCCTTGTTGAGATCCTGGTTTCTGTTTGCTATCTTAAACGGTGAGGGATAAGTTTCAGCAAAGAGATGATCTGAAGATACTTCTTCCATCGCCGATTCTTTAGCTTTGGGTATGGGGAACACTCATTGACATACCAAATAAAATATAATAATCCAATTTGAGTTCCAGTTCTGTCCCCAAAAATGAATTCTTGCAAATGAAAGGCACATTCCTTCGATTCTTTGGTATTGGATTGTTAATAGTAGTATGTTGGGGGGGGGGGGGGGTATCTTTGGGGGGGTGTGGGAAGGCGGGCTTTATAACAACAAGCAAACAACAAACAACAAACAACAACAAAGCGAACGACTCGATAATCATATAGCAAATTAGATCAAATTTGACTTGATAACGTGATAAAGCCAATGGGATGTGCCGGCGAGCCGGTGGGACGGGCCGGGCCCGGCGGCCGCCAAACTCCAGAGCCGATGGCGCGGCGCTGGTGCCATGGGGCCCCGCGGCCTTACAACGAATGGATCTCCGTCTCCGATATCGATATCCGGTCGATGCCAGCCACCGACGACGCTCCGATGGCACTCCTGCTGCCAGCCAGGGCCAGGGCCAGGCCGGGGCCGCACGGCCTAGCCCAGGAGCACCTTGCGCATCATGAACCCGCTATTGGCGCTGCTGCTCGCACTGGAGCCGCGCGCCGGTTCCTCATGCTCGATGCACTTCGAGCTGCATAGATACTGCAGCAGCGGGACGCGGTACTTGCCGCAAAAGTCCACGAACTTGATGTGCTCCACGCGATTGTCAAAGAAGACGCCCTTGCAGTTGGGGTTCACGCAGCAGTTGGCACTGTTCAGATACTCGGCCAGGGTACGCGGTATGTCGTAGGGTCCGGGCCGCTGGCCACTAGCCTTCACAATGCGGCCAGCCAGCTCCAGCAATGTTGGGGGCTTCAATGCCATGTCCTGCACGAAGCGCACCACCAGCGGATTGTCGCGCAGGCTCAACTGTTTTGTGGGAAGAGAAAAGAACAAAAGTAGAACAATGGTTACGGGTCAAGGGCCGAGGCCGAGGAGTAGGACCTACCTCCGTTAGGTTCTTCAGGGCCACAATGTCCTTGGGCAAGTGGCGCAGACGATTCTTGTGCAGCAGCAGCGACTTGAGGTTCTTCAGCCGGGCAATGCTCATCGGCAGATTCTCGATGAGATTGTCGCACAGGACCAGCGCCTGCAGCTGGCTGAGTGACCCCACAGCATCGGGCACCTCGCTGATCAGGTTGCCGCCCAGCGACAGCACATGCAGACTGCAGCAGGAAAAATACAGAGGAAAATGCATATTTAGAGGCGTATTCAGAGCAATCCCTGCGCATTTTCAGTCAATCTGAAATCATCTTTCAAGATCTTGCCGAGATCTTTGATCTGATCTGATCTGTTTTTTTAACAAAGGAAAAGCACACAAAACACCTTCTGTTTCTGTCAGTGTAAACAAAAGTTAATCTGTCGCATAATGTATCGATTTCAACACTGCACAAGGCGCGATAGACAGTGAGAGTGAGGGAGAGAGACTGAGAGAGAGATTGTAGCTGATTAATGGACAGAGAGAGAGCGAGCAAGCGATTGCAAGGTGTATTTATAAAAGGTGAGCCGCTATCTCTGCACTTCAGACAAATAAAGAACTGCAGCTGCTGCTCCATTTAAAAAGATCTTTGATCAATATCTTCTATATATCCCCAACCATGCTATGACGTCACAGCATTATTGCTCCTCTTACTGTTCTCTGAGTGGCATGTGTACTGTACCCGCACCCCCGTACCACCTAGCCACTACTCTAAGCCTCGGACATTGCAAATTCTGCCATATAGTCCGGGTAATCTGATAACTAATTCCAATTTCGATTTTTTAATTTGTTTTCCATTGATATTTGGAATTTTTTTTTGCCTGCTTTTGTTTATTATTATTGTATTAATATACGGGGTACCGTATCTTTATGGTTCTTCGACCAAATCGTTTGAGTCCGAGTCGAGTACGTGTTTTCGATAGATTTGGCATTTACGATGCCACCAACCCACCCCACCCCACCCCACCACACTACTCCTCCACTCCACCACTCCACTCCACACACAAGTGTGTTTGTTATCAGTTCTCATGCGGGACGGGACTTGTACGAGTTGTTTTGGACTTTTTCCCCGTCTCCCATACGAACGGACAGACAAGACCAGACCAGACCAGTCCAGACGCCTGGCAACAGTGCGGGGGCACTCGCAATCGGGCGTGGCGCGGTCTATGGGGGTAACATTTACCTTTGCAGCTTCCAAATGTCCTTCGAGATGCCCGTTATCTTGTTGCCGCCCACATACAGATACTTGAGGTGGCGCAGCTCGGTGACCTGCTCGGGGAAGTGGGTCAACTGGTTGCCGCTCAGATTGAGCTCCTTGAGGGTGCTGTGTCCGTGTCCGTAGCCACCGCCGGCCGCCTGCTTGGCCAGCAGCGACTTGGGCAGCGAGCAGTTGGTCAGCAAATTGTTCTTGGCAATCAATGTGACCAGCGGCAGCTGGCAGATGGCATCCGGCAGCTGGGTGATCGCATTGGAGCTGAGATCCAGCACCTTGAGGTTGGCAAACTGCTGCAGGACCCGGGGCAGGCTCACCAGTCGGTTGTGGTTGAGCAGCATCGTCTCAATGTCGCCGCTGGACTTGAGCAGGGCCTTGTGCGGCGATGTCAGGTGATCCTCGAGCGTAACCGAATCGAGACTCATGCGCCCAAAATCGATGGTCTTTTGGTCGCGCGAGTCCGTGTCCGAGCTGTCCGACGTGTACACCTCCATGGCTGGGCTTGGGCTTGGGCCTCCTTCTGTTCGTTCTGTTTGGATCACTTGGAAAGAGTCGGCGCGATCGCGTTGCTTTTTGTTTACGGATCTCAATTGGAACTGATCGACGATGCTGTTCTACGGCGCAGATCAACGGATGATGACGATGTTGATCTGTTCTGATCTGATCCAACAGAGACGGGACAGAGCAGAAGCACACACAGAAAACAAAAAACAACAAAATAATAAGAAAAACAATCAAGAATAACGAAACAGCGAAACCAACTGAAACTCGTCGCGACAAGTGAACGTGAACGTGTGGAACGGTGTCTGTAACTGTGCCCAGAGCTAACGTGACGCTCGCTCGCTCGCCCCAACCCAAATGAAATGCCAACTGGTGCCGTTTGGAGCTGATCTTGGAGCTGTCTATCCGAAATTTAGTCGGCCTCCATTCGGCTCGCGGCCCGATCTCTCTCTCTCTCTCTCTGGTTCGTTGCCTCTCTGGCACTCTCTCTCTCTCTTGCGCACTCTTCGGTTCTTGGTCTGGGTGCGCACGAGGCGTATGCGTAATAGCTGCCATCGACAGTCCAGTCCAGCACAGCGCCTGGGCAGGGGGCAAAGGCAAAGGCAAGATCGCGATCATATGAGCACGGTTATGGGTCTCTGGGCCTGGGCCAAAGGTACGAGGGTTGCGTGGGTGGCTCAAACAGTTTGTCAGCCTTCGAAATCGATTGGGTTGGTCTTATCGTTCGGATTCCATTCGCAAATAATAATTATTGTCAATTCGTGTCGAGTTCCTTCTTCGAATGGGAAATCTGATATCTGTTGGCTGCATTCATTGAAATTTCAGCCTCCTTTCGGGCTCTAGAGGGGTAACCAATAAAATAAGAAGAAATTCTGCGATGCACCCAAATAGAATTTTAATTAAGAAAAAACCTCTTGAACATTTGATACTCAAGTACTCCCACAAACTTCTCGACTGCCTCAAGTCTTGTCACATTATGCCGTTTCGTTTCGATTCGATCGCAGGCGCCGGATCACGAACCAATATTTTATGACACACACTGATGCCCGCCCGCTCACCTGCCACCCGAGTGGAAGTGGTGGTGGTGGTGGTGGGGGGGTTTTGTTTTCTGTTCCTTTCGGGGGTGGTGGTGCAAGTTATCGAACAGCCCACTTGATCCGTGCAATAATCAATATATATTTACTCTCGACAATCGTTTGTTTTCGCTGTTTACTGTATGCCATTCGTTCGCTCTCCGCCTGACGTGCTGTACTTAGAATTGTTTAATCAAAACATCGCCACAAACCCCGCCCTCTGCCTGTGCCTGTGCCTCTGCCTGTGCTTACCTATCTCCCTCCCCTCCCCTCCACTTCACTGCCTTCCTTTCTTGTCTCTAGTTCAGGCCAGGCCACTTGTGGCGGCCCCTTTGGCCGTATCCCCGCAAGTCCGTCGCCAGGGGCCTGGGCCCTGGGGCCGTACGGCGTGCAAATAATTCTTTATTATCGCGTCATTGGAACATTTCTATAGCCGTCTCTGTGCTGGGACTGGGACTGGCACTGGCACTGGCACTGATAAGAGGCCAGCACTTATAGTAAATATCAAAATCCGCGAGTGAGAGCCACAGCTCGAATCGATCACGACTCGGGCAGTATACGCTGTCTCCCGCTACCCACTCGCACCTATCTATTTATAATTAAAACAATAATTTATGGATGGCTCAAACTCCAATTTAAAACAATTTACAACTGGCCAGGACGATAACGAAACAATGGAATCGTCCCATGGGTATTTTGGGGATCGTAGTAGCAACAAAAGACACGATCGGACATGGAGATGGGTCGGGATGCTGCTACAGTTTCGGTGCGTTTTTTTTTTGCACACGTTGCGAAATCTTTTTGTGGTTCCAGGTCTCGTCTCTCTGTCTGTCTGCCTGTCTGTCGATCTGTGTGTGTGTGTGGTCGTTATCGCCCCGAATTCTCGTATTGGGCATCAAAACAAAGCGCGAATCAGCACTGATGTTGAGATGCTAGTAGCTGTGCCGTGCCCAAGATTAACTGCTGACTTTTAATTTAGCTATTTCTTATTGCAAATAGAAAGAATGTAGAGAGAGAGAGAGAGCGAGAGAGAGGTGACCATTATGTGTACATGGGGGTTTATGCACGACCCCTAGGCAGTACGAATAATCTATTTGTAATAATTAATGCTAATCTATTATAATCAATTATCGTTATCTGTCGCGCCGTCTGTTCGATTTCGTGTCGTCTGTTATTCGACTTGTGTGTGTGGGGCTGTGGATGGTGCCACTCAAGTCCACAGATGGTGGCTAGCGTCTCACTCAAGCACCAACTGGGGGACCTTTGATAGCAGCAGTCGGCGATAGCCTTTGCCTTTTCTGATCCCCACCAAAGTCCCCACAAAAACAAACTCAAATCTGCTTGGATCCTCAAGCCCATATTTAGACAGAGCCGTCTCAGATAGTGCCAAGTCTGGCCAAGTTAATTATAGAGTCCAAAAAAGACTCACGGGAAGTGCAACTGAAAGAATGCTGCGGATAGTACCAAACGAATGGATGTTGCATTAAGGATCAGGGGTCGATAGCATATTTCAGAGAAACAAATGTACTTAGTAGATGTACCTCCGTGAGCTAGTGGAAGAAGAGGTAGGTGTGTGTGTTAGAGTTTGAGAGAAGAACAGGCCACAGAAAAAAAACTATCGAGCGAAATGTCACTGCTGTAGTAATAACTACTTCTAATAACATACACCAACAGTATCAAAGGCATCAAAACAAAGCAAAACCGCTCGAAGGACTGCGAATTTTCCAGAATTTAAGTGCAGAAAGTCTGCGAAGGGGACTTGCCCAATGGTATATATATACAAATATATTTGATCTATTAATTTAGTTTATGTAAATTATTCGTTTAATGTTCATGAAGAATAAGTACACGATTTGTAAAGCTTTTTTAAAAAACATGGAACAAAAATCAACTTCAACTTTCGTTTACTTACCCTACAGAAGATTATAAAAATATTTTACATGATCAATTTTTTGCATCAAATATGTATGTAGTTCGTGATCCATTTTATCTGAAAACATAAAAAATAAATACAGTGACTCCGCAAAGCCAAAATATTCAGAGCGTGTCAAATTGTTTCCATTTTTTGTCGTCCTTCTTATAATAATACTAATTATTAGTAATCTTATGTTAGTATCCGCTATATAGACACCATTATTTTTCTTGTCTTTGGCATACCACCAATAAGTTTGCGCCAAATCTCTATTGGAATATCGTACCATGTTTTTGGTACAAATTCCCACAATTCTTGGGAAATTTTGAAACGTATTTGTGGTGCTGCCCACTTTTATTTTTCAATTAGATGTTTTGCCAAACTTTAATCTTTTAATATACAAACATGCATCTAAAAACTTTCGAGATATTTCATAAAACTTAGCACGATGCCGCTGTAATTATTCTTTTGTCCAGTAGTGTGTATAAGAGATGTATTTAAAAAATGCGAAGAGAAGTAGGAAATGATAGACACACACATCACAAGAACTTACACTGTGCCCGCCCAAAAGCATGCTACACGAGTGTGTTGGCTTGATCCGTTTCGCTGCCTACTTTTGGACATGTCAAAGGCAGCGAAACTCGCGCCAGCCCGGAAGTGTGCTCTGTCTGTTAAATATCTAAATCATTTTTTTTTTGGTTATTTTTTATTGATTTTTGTTTTTGTTTGTTCGCTATTTTTTGGATTACATGTCACATATTTTACAAAGTATACAAAAAAAAAAGTATTCCTTTAAATAGTAGAGGGATTGGATAGCATAGCTGTTTTTAGTTTTACATAACTATTAAAATGTATTGGTTAATATGTCGATATATTGTATGTATGTATGTTTCTTTTAATGTATGTATTACTCGTATTTTATTTTATTTTTACGTTGAAAAAAAAAACACCTCAAGAAACCCACTAAATGCCTTTTGTGTGTAAAGTGTAAAGTCTGATGGTCCGAACTGTGTGCCAGGATTGGATTGGATTGGATTGGATTGATTGTTGCTTGTTGACTTGTGATTGAACTGTGGTCTTTTGGTCGCCAGGATGCCCCGCCATACGTGTACGCGGCGGTTGGTGTGATTATAGATCATAGATCATCATAGAATATATATGTATGTATGTATGTATGTATGTATGCCTGTGTGCAGTTACGTTCGAATGACTCCTTTGCCCACTCAGTTTGTTGTTTGTGCAATTCGGTTCGGTTCGGTTCGGTTCTCTACGCGCTAAGGGTTTATATATCGTGTATATTTTCTCGCATATAATATATGTATATATCGGCATATATTATATTCGTGTATATGTTTTATTCGTATATTTATAGATTTATATATGTTTATTTATTAGCAAAAAAAAAAAGAACGGGGTGCAGGAACGGGGTAGGGAGGGGGTTCCTGGGGATAGGGTGATGATGATGATAAAAAAAACACGACGCTTAACTCAATACTGTTGTTTAGTACACATTAGATGTTTTCTAATTAATTAGCGTTAATTAGCTTTACTTACAGGCTACTAAGTATATTTTAATGTAATAATAATAAATTATTAATCAAATATGCTTGGTTAGTGAGCAAGATGGGGCAGGGTAGGGCCGGTCAGGGCAGGGCAGGAAAGGATGCTGATTCAGATTTAGTTTCAGTTTCAGATTCTGTTGCTGTTGCTGCTGCTGCTCAATGTCCTGTCGGCTGTGTGGTGGGCCAGGCGATCTTCGCATCGATCCGCTTGTAGGCGAGCATACAGTGCTTGCCCTTGGCCGCCAGGCGTGCATCCTGCGGGCACTCGGCATCGCTGAGCAGCGTCTCCTCACCGTCGACCAGCTTGAACAGGGCATAGTCCTGCGGATTGGTGATCCGTGCCTTATGGGCAATGATGCGGCACACCTCGCGCGTCGTCGTGTGCGGCCGCACGGGAAGTGTCCGGGTCTGCAGCGAGCCGTTGCATTCATCCGGTATGATCACCCGCAGCACGCTGGAGCAGGCGGGCAGGCAGCTGGAGCGCCACTGAGTGGTGAGAGTAGATAGAGAATAGAGCACAGATTAGCTACAAGCCACTCAAAATTGTGTGTGCGTGTATGTGTGTGCACTCACGTCGAGGGATCCACTGCCGCTCTCGCCCTCGGAGGCCATGAACGTCTTGAGCACCTGAACGGCGCTGCAGAGGGCGGTGAGGTAGTAGCCCGGCTCCCCATTGAGCAGCGTCGGCTGGAGCAGGCCCCACATGAACTCCGCCTCGATTTCGGCGCCAACAAAGCCGCACTTGGCCACCACATAGACGAGCACGGGCAGGAAGTCATCGGCGCCCAGCTGCTGGCCCCGGGGACAGCCCGTCGCATCGAACACCGTCGAGATGACGCACAGGAAGAGCTCCAGCTTGTCCAGCGGCAGCTCGGCCTCCTGCAGGCGCCACAGCAAATTCGCAATCAGTCGCAGGGCCGTCTGCGAGGGCGGTGTGACGGTGGGCCGGATGCCAAAGTCGGCCGCCTCCCGTTCGCAGGCATAGCGCACGTTCTGGGCCAGCAGCTGAATGTCCTCGCTGCGCGTATAGTAGTCCACGAAGATGCCATAGAGATGCTCGCGCAGCGGCAGCACCACCAGCTGATGCATCACCGTCTCCAGCATGGCGTCCAGATTGAGGAACTCGTCGGCCTTCAGTCGGCCGCGGGCCGACTCCAGTTCGGCATGGAACTTGCCCTCGCCGTGCTTCACCAGATAGTTCTTCATGCCGCTCATGAACTGTCGCATGTTGCGCATGACCACCTGGGGCGCCGCCTCGCGCGACTCCTTGGTGCAGCTGATGAAGTTCTCGATGTTGCGGGCAAAGGTGGAGCTGGGGTCCTGGGCCAGCTGCAGCGTGTACGCGCGCAGTGAGTCGCCGGGGCCGCTGCTCTGGATGTTCATCTTGTTGCGGGGGTGACCTGCAATAGGGAAAGAGCAATTTGGTTGGTTAAGATCGAGTCGTATTCCCATCCCCATCCTTGAATTAGATCCCACACTCCACTGGAATTCCCTGTCTTACCAACGATTAGCTCACACAGTAGCCGGAGTAGGCGGCGCAGCAGATAGCAGCAGCCACGTTTGCGGCAATAATCCTCGTCGGCGCACTCGCAGCCGCGGCGATAGCGTCGATAGAGGCGACGACTCTGGCCCTGGAGGGCCAAACCCCAGGCCCGGAACTCCACAATGTGCGTCATGTTGAGCAGAATATTGCCACGTTCGTCCAGGTGGAAGAACTGCTTGATGTCGTAGTGATCGCAGGTGTTCAGCTCGCCCGGATGACAGCTGTCCGTGTGGATCTGCTGGGTGCTGGCCACGCTGCCCTCTGCCGTGGGATTTGGACACTTGCCGATGGCCCCCATGATGGAGCCGGCGAGTGCCTCAGTCTTCAGTTGTGTGCGATTGATGCGGCAGTCTTTGAGCACCTGTTGCGGACAGGTGGCCGTGTTGTTGGTGCTGCTGGTGGTCTGGAGGCGTCAGGGAGCCAATGCTGGAGAGGCTGCTGCTGGCATATTTGGATTTTTTACAGAGCACAGAACTGGGCGACGGCAGCTCCTGTCCCATGCCCTGGATGGGCAGCGCAATGCCCGTCTGAATGTTGTCCACAAAGAGCAGCTCCAGGAACTTGCGCTTGCGTCTGCCCTTTGGTTGCTTCTCCTTCATTGCTGTGGTGTCCAAGTCGGGCAGAGATGTCATCAGATCTGGCTGAGACGGTGACTGTGGCTGTGGCTGAGTTCTCTGGAGTAGCAGCTCCTCCTCAAAGTCGGCCGAAAAGTAATTGCCCTGCGGCGGATGCTCAATGATCTCCCACTCGGCCATTATGCTGAGGAACATGGCCTCCTCCTTGTAGTGTCGCACATGGTCCGGATCGTGAAAGAACTCCTCGGGCTCAAGTCGCTCGATGCGCTGCTCATCCAAGCTGCTCAGCGATTTGGACATGTCTGGTTTAGCATCAGCATCAGCATTTCCATCCTTTTCTGTATCGTTATCCTTGTCCCGATCCGATTCCGATTGGCTCCCGGTCTGTGCACGCGACGATCTTCTGAACCAGCTCATGGTGGATTCTCAAGCGATTTTTGCCAGCTAATACGAATTGGCGGAAACGCAGGTTTCTCATCGGCACACGCGAATGCAGATGCAGATGCGGTTCGATAGACTTCGATTGCGATCGCGTTCCAACTTGCCTGCTGTCGTCTATCGATAATGGGGCGGCCTCTTCTATCCTCTTTCTCCACACTTCTGGATGGATTTTGTAGTGTGTGTTTTGTGTGTGTTTTTCGTTTGCTTTTATGTTGTTGCTGTGTTTTTCTCTCCGTTCTCTGGGGCGTGTTGCTGCTGCTGCTGCTCTAAACGCGGCCAATGCAAAACTAATTCTGAACTTCATTTGCATTAGTTTATAAGACCGCAACGACGTCGACAGCAGTGGCGCGGCATTGGCAGCAGCAGCGGCAGCGGCAGCGACAGCGTAACGGCGCCGTCACGGGCAGCGCTGCCTGCGGGTCTACTGAACAAAAGATAGCGAAAAGGCAGCCACATAGGCGGCCTCAGCTTCAGCTTCAGCTACGGCCTCAGGCCATATCCATTCCATTCCATGCACATACTCATCATACACAATAATCTCCTTTAATCTGCCCAACAGGTAGAAGAAATTATGCAAATTTTGATCCTTTCTCGGGAAATTTCCGGTTGGAATTGCCAGCCCCTTGTTTCAGGTACAGTTGCGCGAGTCGTCAGCGAGGAGAGGCTGCCATGACTCATGGCAAATCGGGGGCAGGCCCCAGTATTGCTCGCGGTCTGGGTCTGCCATTGGATGAGCCATCCAGTGAGCTGAGCGGTGAATCCCACCATTCGGTGGCTTAGGGAGGTACTCAACCACGAAAACCCACTACAATCCAATCCAATCCACAGCAATCATTCAGACACGTGTTCCAGGGCCAGGGCCAGGGACAGGGACAGGAACTGGCAGGTAGTGCAGCAGTGCAACAAGTTGCGAATTATTGCGAGTACCTGTCCAGCTTGCCACGATTCAAGTCAATGATTGAAGGCATCAACCATCAACAGGTTGGTATCCCTCTGCCTATCCAACCTATTTTCTGCCTGTGCCTGTGCCTGTGCCTGCGCCTTATCAGCCCCTTCTTCTCGCCTACTTTTTACATAGACACGCTGGCTGGCTGGCAGGCAGGCAGGCAGGCTGGCAATCGATTATGTTCGACTTAGTTCGATTCTATTGCAATGGAACGCTTGAATTGCATCAGCGTTGTAGGACTTTTGTCTGATGCGCAATTCGGAAAGACCTTTAAATGCTAAAATGGAGGTTTATAGGTTAGGGTTGAGGGTACAGCCTCAAGCCTCAGATGGCATGAATTCCCATGGTCTTCCTGTTGCAGCAGAGAGACAGAGAGCGACCTTGGTGAGATCAGTGAACCCCTCCCTTCAAATGTCTGTTTTTTTTTTTATATTATTTTCTTTTTTGTGTTTATCCGCCTTTAGTTTTAGGAGATTTTCATAAAGATTTACCTTATCAAAGCGTCATCTGTGCCATAAGCTTTTACAATGCCCAAAAAGCAAACAAATGCCAGCAGCAGAGCAGAACAGCAGCAGAGCAGGCGACTTTGTCGCCCTTTTTAGCACATGTGAATTGGGGTGGACCGCATTGAGTGCATTTCAAGATGCGACCAGAACTAGAACCAGAACTAGAACTAGAACCAGAACTAGAACCAGAAGTAGAACCAGAACTAGAACCAGAAGTAGAACCAGAACTAGAACCAGAAATAGAAATAGATTTCGCGCGTCGCGTGTTTGCATTTCATCAGTTTGTGGGATTGTCTTTGTTGTCTGGAGGCGATGCTTGTTTGTTGATGTTTGCCATACACTGACCCAAAAATAGAACCAACTTCCACATGGCATATGCGTAGCATACATACATACATATGTACATAGTATATACATACATATATCAATTACGCATCCCATTCAGACAGAACTTCCACTCAATGTTCGGAGCGGTAAAAATCGCGAACGCTGATAAAAACGAGCGGGCGGCATCGGTTTACATTCCAAAGTGCGAGACGCAGGCAGAACTGCAGGCAGAGCGCTGCAATTTGCACTCCCTCTACTCTCACTCTCTCTCTCTCTCGAACTCGTACTCTTACTCTTGCTCTCTCTCTCTGCTCGTCTCTGGGCATACAAAAACTTATCAAATTTTGTTTAGCTTCTGCAGCAGCGGGCTAACTGCGACGCAGCAATAGCCAGGCAGCGGGGGGGGGTGGATCGGAATTGGGTTCTCGGCCCCAAAGCCATTGCGCGGCAGATAAGTTTCGGCAAGGCTTTGTAGTCTGCTGCTGCTGCTGAGGGCTGCCTGCTGCATTGTGATAGGCAGCAGCAGCGTCGCTGTCGTTGTCGCTGGATTCCAGTTGAAACCGGCGGCATCACACGATGGCCGGACGGGGAGCCAGCAGCGAGCATAAAGAGTTGCCGACTTTCATCTGGTTTGGGCTTTGGGCGATGTGGGTCCATGCAGCACTTATGCAGCAGCAGCAAATCGATCAAGTCTCACGTGCCCAACTGAGTATTTGGTCTACGCTGTCGCCAGGCAAAATCCTTACTCGGATTCCAAGCCAAGCCCCACAGATTAAGGTTAACTCTAAACACAGTTAAAAAAACTGCCTTCGAAATGAACAGCTTTGCAGAGTTTCTACAGGACGCTCCGACTGATATGCTTCTGCTGAAAACTCTACTCAAAGAGTATTAAAACATTGGTGCATCGAAGAGCACCGATTACGAGCACGCCTTCATTTGTCATTTGTTATTTGCTTTTTGTTTTCCGCCAGTGTTTCCCGTGCATTCAATCGATTCTCCCTCAAGTCAAGTCGATCGATGACGATGACGAGCTGCCTCCTTCTCCTGCTCCTCTTACGTTGCAGCAGGCATCAGCGAGAATAATCAGCGGGCTCGTGCTTTTGTTTAGTCAACTTCTCAAATTGTTCATGGTGGCCATGGATGGACGGTTCCGTTCTGTTCAGTTCTGTTTTGTATGGGCATAGCGCGTATGATGCAACAATAACAACTGATTGCAATTGAGCGTGATCGTAATATTGTAAGGCGTAGAGTGTAGTCATCAGTATACTGATATATATATATATATATATACTATGTACAATACGCACACGAGACGAGCGAAACGGATTGGATCGGTCCGATGAAGGTGCGTGGATGGTACGGTCCGATAAGAGCTGAATTGAGGAGTATTTCAATCTGAGTTGACACACATTTCTTTTTAGATTATCGTCTGAACGCAACTGGTAGAATTTCTAGAACCATAAGCCATATTCAGCTTAAGATCTTTGTGGAAGATCCATGCAACAGTGGAGATCTTTTCATATCGATTGGAAAAATAGGAACGAACCCAATTTCATCATTTAATACTCTTTGGAGTGAGTCCCAGTTCCTATGCAGCTCAAAAATTCCCCACGATTAGTCATCCAACTAGAACTGATACTAAATAAATACTAGTTATTTTCTTTTCTTAGAAAGTAAAATCCTTTTTATAGCTGTACGTACTGATACGTCTAAGCAGGAATGATGCTGACTAAGTGCGGGTATTAAAGTAGAGTCGCGCCACAACAGCGACTCACAAAGTTCCCTCTCGTTTTAGAGTTATGTCAAGGATTTATCTCATTTGGAATTGCCTAGCAGATTCTTTGCTTGTGTGATTTGTGATCCTCCAGCGACGTTTCCGACTTAACTTTATAAAATTCACCCCCCTGCCCTTCCCATAGATGTAGAAACCATCAGCAAATACTCACATAAGACTTCACGATCCCGCATGCTGGGATTCCGCAGAATGGTGGCCACTTTGGGTCGACTGTTGGCCTTGGCGCTGCAATTGTTGTGATTGTGATTGTGGTTGTGGTGTCCAGCACCATTCCTGTTGGCCTTGAGCGTGTCCTGGTTGCAGCTGCTGTTGCTGCCGTCTTTGGTGCTGCTGAGTTCCTCGACAATGGTATCGTCCTCGGACAGGGCGGGCCTGCACTTGGACAGATGAATGGTGTCCGAATTGAGGGTGGTGTCTGTGTAGGCAAATAAGGATTGAATGAGTGGTTAGATGCATTTGCGGATCATCTTGGGGGGCATCACTCACCGTCATGGGGTAGGAACGAGTCCCACTGGGATGAGTCCCAGGGCTCTGAGAATATGGTGCCATCGTCGGACTGGGCCGAATCGATGCCACCGAACATTGAGTTCTGGCAGAAGACATTGTCGTATGAGGAGAGGCGACAGCCGACGTTCTGGCTCTGGAATGACTTCTGGCTGCCGCTGCCATCCCTCTCCTGGCCCTGAACCAGCGGCTGCAGTGGCGCGGCACCGGTGGCGGTGCCGTTGCCGGCCATCGTCTGCGGTGGCGTCGAACAGCGAACCAATTCCGGCAGATTGAGGTCGGGCAGTCGCTTGGCAATGATCTGGTGGACTGTCAGTGGGGGCCTCTTCTTGCCCAGTCCCCCATCCTTGTCGCGTCCCAGCGAGTTCTCCTTCTCCTGCCAGTCCTGCACCGAGGCGTCGTATGCCTCTCCCGTCGTATCCTGCTTGGCCATAAACTCCCAGCTGCTGTCCAGCTGCCAGTGATCGATGCGGTTGCGTGCCCGCTTTGTCGTTGGCTGCTGCTGATGTTGCTGCTGGTGCTGCTGCTGCTGCTGTGGCTTCTGCTTCAGCTCGTCCAGGCTGCCTGCCAGCTTCTCCAGGTCGCTGGGCAGCAGCAGGGCGGCCGTTGTGCCGCCCAGTCCTCCCTTGAGCGGCTCCGAGTGCCGCTGATTGGCGTGCATCACCTGGCTGCGATGCTGGCGCCGCAATATGGCCGTGGCCGCACTGGTCAGGCCCGCCTGTCGTAGTGCATCCGCTGGCTCCGCGTAGAAGGGGCTGCCCTGTTTGCTGCGCGATCCCGGTGTCTGTGCCGCTGTCGGTGTGATCTCACCGCCATCGTCGCCCGGCTCGGTCAGTGACTGGCTCATGGCTGGCGGCGGCGCTGTTGCCTGGCTGCCGACTAGGCTTAAATTTGGCAAAAGCAGACCGGCCCGAGAGCGTGGCGGCGCATCGCCAGAGAACTGTAACAGCTGTTGGCTGCTGTCCTTGGCGGCGGCGGCGGCGGCAGCGTCGCCGATGGTCTCCTCCTCGCAGGGCGTCAGATGCGGCAGTGTTTGGGCTGTGGGTGTGCTGGCTACGAATACAAAGAGCGAGAGAGGGAGAGACAGTTAGCGTTAGAAAGAGAGCAAAGAGAGGAGTGCACTTACGTGTCTCGGCCAGCAGATCGGGTCGACGGTTCAGCACCCCGTCCTGGGGCGTTGGCTTGAAGCTGGTCAGCAGACTGGCCCTGTCGCTGGGGTCGTGCGACCACACGTCCTCGTAGTCGCTGATCTTGTCGCTGAGGGCGCTGGCGCAGTACTGCAGCGGCGGGCTCTCGAGTATGTCCGACTCCTTGTAGTGCTGTGACTCCTTGCCGGCGCGTGATTTGCGCGACTTGCCACCACCGCCGCCGCCGCCACCGCTGCTGCTGCTGTTGGGTGTCTGCGGCGAGAGGATCTTCCTGTGGCTGGAGTCGCGGCTCGAGTGCAGCTGCCAGCGGCTGTCGTTGGTGGAGGAGGAGCCCTGCGAGGACAGCGTGTCCTTGCACTCGCCCTCGGGCGACAGGCGCTTGGCGAACGTCTGAAAGGTGCTGGCCTGGCCATTGAGCAAAGCGTTGAAGGGATTGCTGGAGGCGGGTGTCGTCACCTCGACAAACTTGCCCCCAGTGTTGCCTCCAATGCCTCCTCCTCCGCTGCTCCCATTGCCGCTCTCCATGGAGAAGGTGACGGTGGTGGTCACCGTGAAATTACTGTTCCCATTCCCATTGCCATTGCCATTGCCATTCGCCAGCTGATCCGGCGAGTGGGGCTTGGACCAGCGCAGCGGTGGCGCCGGCGGCTTGAGATTCAATGTGTTTGGAGGCTTCGGACGTTGCGGACGCACCTGATCGACAGCACCTGCCCCTCCTCCTCCTCCTCCCTCGATGGGCAGCACCTTGAAGGTGCTCATCTGCTGGCCGATGCCGGCTGCGGCTGCGGCTGTTCCAGCCAGTGGGCAGGAGATGGGCGGCGGCGGCCCTCCTGGCGGCAGATATCCGGCTGGCCCCTGGCCCTCCACGGGCGACATGGTCAGTATAACCGAGTCCACGGAATTGGGGCTCAGCAGCTGCATGTGCTGGCCCCCGCTGGTGGTGAACGAGCTCATGCTGGAGTTTGTCGTGTCCGAGGGCGTGCCCGCCTGGCTGAAGAAGCCCATCAGCTGTCCGCTGCCCGTGGGACTAAAGAGGCTGCCATTGCCATTACCACCGGGTGCCGGGGGCGCTGTGGCCGGGGGCTTTGGCCCTGCATCGCTGAAGAAAGTTGCCGTGCCCAGACCGCTCGTCTCCGTAAGGGACAGCGGCGACTTGGCATCGCAAGAGCAAGTTGCTGCTGCTGCTGCTGCTGCTGCTGCTGTTGGGTGTCCTGTGGCGCTGCCCTTGAGGGGCCCACTAGCGTGGGCGGACCGAGGACGGCGGGACTGCTGGCATAGCTCCAGAACTCCTGGCCGAGCAGGGCCAGCGAGGAGAGCTTCTTGCGGTTGTTGGCCTCGCGCAGCAGCCGTGGCAGCATCAGCTGGACGGGCAGCTCGTCGCAGCACTGGGCATAGTGGGCGATCAGTGAGGGTATCGAGCCGAACGTGAACCGCGAGCTCTCCAGGCTGAGCACATTGTCGTGCGACTGGATCAGATAGTGCTCGATGTAGGGGCCCGTGTCCAGGGGCAGGCGCACCGACACGGCCATCGTGTTGGGCTGACTGGAGCCGCGCACAATGAAGGTCTGCAAAAAAAGCGAAAAACAAACAAAAGAAACAGTAAGTAAGGGAACAGGGTACGGTAAATATATATATATATTTCTGGCTATAAGTTAAGTGAGTCTTTTGCGTTTGGTTGCGCGTTAAATGTTGCGTTCACAATTCGCCCATAAATTCCCACTTATGGATGATAAATCTATCCCTACCTTCCCCCGCCTCCCCTGCTGGCATTCCATTGCATGCAACAATGACTTCGTCTTCTCTTCGTCTGCATTCCTTTTTCCCTGCTTTACACTTTGTATGCGTTTTTTTTTGTTGTTTTTGCTGTTGTAAAAACTTTGCAGACGCTGCGACAAATCGCGAAGTTGGCGTTGGCGTGTGGCATTGGCGTGTGGCAAGGGGATGGATGCTGGTTGCATCTTTAGCATCGAGAGAGCTGGTCAAGTGTGGCCAGAACAGGACAGGACAGAACAGAACGGAGCAGAGCAGAGCAGACCTGCCCCGCTGCTAATCGTCTGTGAAAACTTTTCATAATGAGACTTGTACTTAAAGTCACGCACAAAGCATCCAATCCCAAGAAGGTTTACTCTCGAAGGCAAATTCACCCCTCAAAATTCAGCCTGGAATTCCAGCCAGCTAATATTATGTTAGCCATAATAACGCTGAAAATTATGTTGAATATGGCGAATGAATTGCCATCTCAAATTTATAAATTCATCAAAAAGTTTTCTTCAAATAAAATAAATCAATTTGAATTAACAGTTGGCATGGAAAATGTTGGACAGTGAGAGATTTTCCATTGGATTTTAATGCTTTCTACTGTTCTGCTGTTCTACGCTGATGGGGGGGTGTGGGGGGATATGTTAAAATAATCTGGTCATTGCTATGTTATTATGTATGTTACGTATGAAATTTCTGCGCCAGGGTATTCAAATAAAATAAATAAATAAAATAAGGCAGCACATTAAAGGCTGTAGCAGCGCACAATGGGCCCGAACAGAGAGATGTAGCGATTTGTATATCATCGGAATACACTCCTTGGCACATCCAAATACAATCTTTATGATGATCGAATGATCTTCGAGCTTCGAAACGAATCCATCGAGGCATCGGGTTGATAAATGATTGCTTTTTGGTTCAGCTAGAAGGTCCGAGTCCAAACTGCTGTTCGTTGTGTGGATCGGCGGGCATGAGCCACACATCCACGCATCTTCGGCTTTGGCTTCAACCATTGAAGAGGAATTAAGACGTGGAGCGAAGCTTCTCAAGTGCTTTTTATACCTCTCCATATCCAGCTTCAGCTCCATCTGCCGTGTCTACTCTTTCTCCTTTTGTCTGTCTGTGGGCGGCATTGCATTGTTGTTGTTTGCTTTTCAATTTCGCAGCATCGCATCAACCCCAAAAGCATGCAATTATACGTGTAAGTATATGAATCACTCCCCACGCCACTCCACCCACCCATGCATATGTATGTACGTATTATACTTCTGTATGTATGAAAGTATGAAAATATATATACATATAAATAATTTTTTTTTCTTCTCTTCTTCAGATTTCAATAAATGCCAAGGCACAGAGGGTGCTGCTGATGCTGCTGCTGCTGCTGCTGTACACCCTGCGGTGTTGTTTATGATTACTGTGCGAGTGGTGCACAATTTTTCAATAAGCAGTTGAAAGAAGATGATTCTCTTAGGATTCTACACCCCACCCAGCCCCAAAAAACGAATCGAGTGCGGTTCAGGGGGTGGGGGGAGTACTCTAAACATTTGGGGTTGGATTGTTGATTTGATTTAGCTGCAACGTTTTTAAAGCATACTTTTTCGGGTGGCTTTCTGATTCCATTACAGCCAGAGGCCGGCCGGCCACAGAGAAAAAAAAATAGTCCCGTACATTTTATACTGATTTAATAATGCGGTCAGGTCACAAAGGCACCATCAAAGAAAGAGAGAGGGGAAGAGGGAGAGAGAGATGAAGGCGTGTCCATCGAGAGTTTGACCATCAGGAAAATGCAATTTATAGAAATCACGATACAGGCAGACGACAGACACACAGACAGACACACAAGACAGACAGTGGCACTGTGGGACAGAGAAGGAGGCACAAAAATGAGCGTAAAAATGCCCTAACAAGATGGGAGACATAAACAAAAAGAAAAAAGGGAAACCCGAATGAAAAGCAGGCGAAAGCGGCTTCAAGGAAAGTTAAACGATGGCAGCCAAAGGATAATGCACAAAGGTTGCCCAAGGATACTGGGATTCTAACAGAACCAGACACAGGGAGAGACAGAGGAAGAGAGGGAGGCAGGGGAGGCAGAGAGAAATAGAGAGAATATACTATAGGCAGGATATAGTGCGTTTCAGTAAGATAAATGCACATACATACATATATATTTACATACATATGTACTTACATAAATTTTATTGATTACTAATCCTAGTGCAAACAACAAAATGCATGTCGTGTGCATGACGGCACACATTGTTATTCGACGGAAAACCGAATCACGAATCTTTTTTTTTGGAATAAATTCAATTTTCGAATGCAAAAAATATATATATTATAATATATTATATAATATAATATATAATGCAGTTGCTGATTTTACATTATTTATTTTACATTATTGAATTTCTGGGATTACGTATTGCCTTGTTCTTGTCTTACATTCCTGGTCCCACTGGGCCTTATAGTTTTCGCAACGCACTGTAGGATGATGCGCATGTAGCGAGTGTGTGAGTGTTCTGCATTCATGAATGTGTCTGAGTGCCTGCATTTTATTGGCTCGAATTGACAAATTTCATTTGGTGACCGAACAATAAAAAGGCGTTACGGCATTTGGCCACCGAATATAAATACATATATATCACTTATAAAGATACCTAAATGTACATATGTATTGCTGAATCGATTTACGATAAGTATACACAACCGTTTTTATTATATACTTGTACATATGTACGTGCTTAAGTATTTCTATTGCCTTTAAAGTCACTTCCTTCGCCTCAAGTCAGGTGTATACATACGAGTATGTATGTATCCATGTACTTTTATGTGTACATATTGCATTTTGTTTGTACATGTTTCCATGTGAGAGTAGGACTCAGTGTACAATGGCTCTTTTCTTTACCATTTTGCCATTTCGCCATTTGTATGCTTTTAGTCATCGTCTGGCAGCGCATAAGCAGGAAGGCCTACAAATGCATTTTAGCACTCTGCAGTTCATTGACTCCCGCCATATAGCCAGCCAGCATATAGCAGCTCCAGCTCTAGTTCCAGTTCCTGTAGCTCCAATTTCAGGTCCTGCAATATTTATGTATAATTTCTACTTGCACTTTTTCGCCGTCAGCAGCGGAATGAATGCGGTTGCTGGCTTCTAGCTTATTCCGCCTAACCGCAAACAGCACAGTTGACGTTTGGTTTAATTTCCGTTTTGCATTTCAATTTCCATTTCCATTGCATTTGCAATTGCATTGAGGGACAAGTGGAGGCAGCTACTCGTTTGGAGTGTGATTTAAAAATTTGAACTTTAAGCAAGAGATTTCAATTAATACTCATCGATCTCAAGCACCACAGTCACTTCTAGCTGATTAAGTGGGCATCAATTTATATGCCAAAAGCTCAATCAAATATTGCATTAACATTTCTTAGGTTTGCCATAAGTGGTTCCAGTCGGAATAGCGCTAGTTTCACAGATTTAACAATACATTTTTTATATTTGCACGTAAATCTTTATCTATAAATATGTATGCCCCGAAGGATTTGTTCCTCGGATCATTCGGTTGAATGAATGGACAAACAAACATCGGATTAATTGTTACTACACAATCTGATTCATGATTTACTTAAATATTTTTAACCACTAAAAATTCACTGTAAAAATATTTTTTTAATTATAAAGTTATCCATGCACGCATGAATTTTATTTTTAATGTTATTGTGACTATCTGCAAGGGCATTCCAAACCATAATCTTGTTGAAGTAATCGCCTGATGGATGCTTTTTAATTTCTATGATAAATATCAAAGATAAAAAATTCACTTAAAAGTCAGGAGGAATATCTTGAACAGAATACATTATTATTGAACATTTTTAGTGAATAAATTTGTTTGTTATGTCTTATTAAAATATTTTTTTTTTAATTAAGAATTTCTTTATTTTTTCTTTATTTTGTTTTGTTTTTTTGAATGTATTTGTGTTCTGCACTTTCTCGCACTTTCAGTAGCTCTCTGTGGATACTCTCTCTCTCTCTCTGCGCACTGACAGCGTATAATCATTTATCTCTTTGCATTTATTTTGCATTTAATTGCATGTAAATTATTGTGCAATGGCCAGCACATGCCGCGTAATGTTCGCACCTCACTCGACCTCATGGCCAGGATGGCTGGATGGACGGACCTCCCCAGGAGGGCTCCCCACACTTGGAGGACATTCATCTGAGTCGAAAAGCTCTGCGAGGATTCCCTGCGGCGTTGCAAATCAGACACAAAAAATACAACAACACGGCACGGAGAGACAGACAGAAACATATCCAAAATAAAAACGATTCGTCGCATTTGCACCCATTTCCGGCATGTTGGACCCCTCATTCCCCTCATCCCACTCATCACTCCCCATAGCAATTGTCACTTGTGGAAGGGTACAACTGCCAGAGCACGGCAGCTGTGGGAGGTGGGAGGTGAGAGTCGGGAGGTAGCTTTGAAAGTAACAACATTTCCGGTTTCCATTTCTCGTCGCGTGCCTTGGGGGCCCCTGCATTTTACCCAGAAATGTCCGCAGTGTCCCCCTCGACCCCATCCACAATACACACGGGAGGCAACGCGGACCATCTTCTTTTGGGCAGAAGCACCCCTTTTAGCCCTCTTACACTTACACATACACAATGCGCAACGTGTCGCAGCTGCTGACTGTCTGTGTCTGTGTCTCCACCTCTCCAGCTCTCCCCACGTCTCCTGTTGCCACCCATTTTTGCCAGTTTTGTGGTCGAAAGTGCAGCCGCCGTTGCCGTTGCCGTTGCCGCTGCCGTTGC